ACCAGTACACTAATTATGACTGAACTAATGCTCTGTAGAGCCTGTTACCAGTACACTAATTATGACTGAACTAATGCTCTGTAGAGCCTGTTACCAGTACACTAATTATAACTGAACTAATGCTCTGTAGAGCCTGTCACCAGTGTGCTATTGAACTCAGGAACATTAACAGCATTCCAACTAATCCTACTGCCGCTAATCATTTGAATAAAACTTATTCTCAAGTCATTTAAATCTACAACAGATCAATGTGTTCTTATTCATTTTAAAACAGAACTTTAAACGACACTGATTAAAGAGGAAAACAGATGGTTCTACAACGAATTATATGTTAATGTATATATTGTTTATTTTTGATAAAACAATTTCCCCGAATCATTGTTGGATATTAACACAATAATAATTAAAAAAAACATGTACAGCACACATACTTTTCCTCTGTCAAATTCTTCATCATAGGCATCCGACCAGGCACGCTTCCTTTCTCTCTCACGGTCAGCCTCCAAGTCCAAAGAACTTTTGCCACCATTCCAGGATACCACTGTGAGAACAAAGGACCCAATATACAAACAATCTCGTACAATTTTAAGTTACCAAGAGAATTCCAACATACCACTCTAAAGCTATTCCAAGATTCCCAACTACCTCTGAAGTTACCCAGGGATTCCCAACAAACTCCTAACTTTCCCTGGGATTCCAAATTAAACACCTTCTTAAGTAAAACAGAGACTCCCAAAAAAGTTGATAACGAATTTTCATATAAAACATTTAAGCAGTGGTAAAATAAATGCTTGAAGCATAAATCCGGTGCTGTTTAAATGTTTGTCATCGTCTCCTAACCCAAGGAGTATAATCATCACAACATAACAAGTCAAACTCAGGGGCAATCACATATCCCTTCTCACATACTAGATCAGTAGGATTTAATGATTATCTGCATTTGTCCTATTTAGTCTACCCCCATGTCTGTAGAGTGGGTTCATTTTAAATGACATTTTATGTTCTTTGTATTAAATGACAGGTTTAATAATAAAAAAAAAATATACAATGTATATACAGTATATTAATTAAATATTTCAGGTTTTGTTTTTTCTCAGTAAACTACCATATAAAATAATATCATTTTTTTGTTATTCAATTGCAGTACAGAACTATTTTCTTTTTGGAATTCCTCAATTCTGGATCTGTAAACTGCGAATAAGATCACATGTCTCCCCTTTTTAGCCACTGTGGAAAGTCACAGTACACTTACAGCTTAAAGGGACAATTTAGTGAAGTAAGTTTTTTTGATTACCTGAAAATCAAGTCGATACTGAAAATAGATATCTCCTAACAAATGTTTACGTAGTTGATAGTGACATGACCTGAAGCCAATGTCCAGTTTCATCTTTTGGGAAAGCCGGTGATGAAAATAGCTACGACCGAAATAGCGCAATATCCGGGCCTTTCAGTGAGAAGTAAACATGTATAGCACTACGCTGTCAACGACAACACAGTGTTAGTTATGAGTCTGAGTTCACACGTAACACATTCTTGAATTTACACAATTCGTCGAGAGTAAGAATTATAAGTATCATAATATATACCTCTAATCAGATATTTCTGCTCACATTTGGATTTGAATAAATACGAACAGGTTCAATTAGAGCATGCACACACTGAGATTGTGCCGCAGGGAGAATTTCAAACCTCAGAAAGTACAATATCAATATGTTTAAACGTAAAACAGATCACTCATTTAGAACGATGTTTTAGATGCTGTAAAAAGATGGTTTTGATTCAGAATAGATGCAGATATTTGTATTCAGAGAGGCTAGGCGAATAAAGCGAGAAGTTACCTTCTCTCCTCGACTGGAAAGACTTGAGGTCAAGGTCACAATGATCTAATGACCGTGCACTGCATGTTATGTGTGTTGATGCTGGCATATTTCAAGTTTCATAACCAAACAATGTCATAAAGGACATAAAACTAGAAGAACTAACACAATGTTTCCCTTCATTTGAAGAGGAGAAATAATAAGAAGCTTACCTGATGAGCCATACACATGGTTAGATGATTTTTCCAGCTCATCTGCCACGCGTGCCTTCTTTGTGCCGTCCCAGTACTGACCAGATTTAGCATCCCCACTTGGGCCATTATTGGGCCGCTTATAACCATCTTTGATATGGTGATCCCAGCTTTGCACAGGAACTGTTAATTTAAATTCATTAAATTACGAAAACGTGATATAAGAACAAGACATTGATTGTTTTGTGAATATACTTCAATATAAATCCAAGAAAAAATTGCAATTTAATTGCACAGGTGATTTTGACATTTTGTATATGGACAAGACCATCATTTCTGAAATTTTGTGTTTTAACCACTAAACCAGCAGTATTTTTTACATTTTTTTGCAAAAACCACAGTATTTCTGATGTTGTGTGTGTAGAACAATAGTATTTCTGACTTTTTTGTGTACGACAACAGTATTTTTGACATTTTATGAGTTAACAACAGTATTTCTGAAATTTTCAGTGTAAATAACAGTATTTCTAACATTTTGAGTGTAAACAAACAGTATTTCTGACATTTCATGTGGAACAGTATTTCTGACGTTTCATGTGTAGAACATTTCTGACTTTTTAGTATACAACAACAGTGTTTCTTACATTCATTCTTCAAATACAATTCCGTGTAAAATACATACTCATTTACAAACAAGGGAATTTGAATACAATCTTTATTTTGAAAGAAAATATCTAAGTGAGGGGAGAATGCAGATTTGTGCTGGCTGTCATTACCTTTGTTTTCACTTGTCTTGTCGTCTCCACAGGGGCCTTTAAAAGAATCTTTAGTCTTCTCAACCCATACAAACTCCTCGCTGTCCTCAGACTCACTCTCAGACTTCTTGTGAGGTCCTTTCTCCTCTTCCTCCTTCTCTCCATTAATGAACCTTTTCTTATCTATACCATGATCTGTAGATTTTAATTCTTTCTTTAATTTGTGCTTCTTTTTCTTGTGTTTTTTGACCCGACCAGAGCTGTCGCTGTCATGCACAAGTTCTTGGTACTTAAAGTCTTTGTGTTCCTTTTTGTGTTTCTTGTGTTTTTTATGTTTTTTCTGTATAGATTGTTTCCCATCTGAGCACACACTCAAGCTTTCAGAAAGGAGGCTCTGTTTATCTGATATATCGACTGATTTGTCGTCCATCGCCTCGCTGATCTGGTTCATGGTGGAAGATTTAGAAGACACCATGTCAGAACTAGAATTGGATTGTGTTTCAGTCGTACATTTATCATCAGATTTATCACACACTGTTCTAAGTCCCTCAGCACACTCCTCTGAAGCACGCCTGGTGTCAGGAGAAGACAGAGAGGATTTGTTATTGCCCTCTTCCCACACTTTTTCATTCCCCTGTACCTTCCAGCCAGGAAACTGTCTCTCGGGCACTTTGGGGTACACTGTCATGTCCTTGTTGCCCATCACTGTCCATTCTGTGGTGGAGTTCACACTGTCACGACTGGAAGATGAACCAACCGAGGGACTGGGAGCCGAGTCCTGGTTAAATACTTGCCAGTTAGTGGTGGAATTCACCTTTGAACTCCCTGCAGGCACCAGGTTAGTCACACAAGATATACTAGGATTATCACCAAGAATCCGTTTCCCTGGGCTGAAAGCTGACTTATCACTGAACTGTAATGTCAGATCCTTTGAAGGACTTACCATTAGATTGAGGCCATCAAGGCGATGGTTTTTACTGTCTTCACCACCATGGCCTTTGGTGTCCAACAGATTTGCATTTCCTGGTACGGAAGTAGTGGCATTTAGTTTCTTATCAAAAACAACAGCAGAGTCATCCAAATGTCTTCTGATATTTTTCTGGGAAAACAAAGGCAGTCCAAACTTCTTGTCTTCCTTTTTCACACTAGATGATTTAGTTTCTGTTTTCTTACCTTTAGTGGCGCTATTTGTATTTTCAGAATCTGACTCACTGTCATCACCGTATGGTACTAACAGTGACTTCACCTGATCCGAATCTTTCACTATCTTTGATTTACCATTTGGCGACTTTTCAAATGTGGTAACTTTGCCATTTTTGATTTGCATGACAATTCTTGGCTTATCCTCTGTTGCACTTTGCTGTTTGACATAGGTTTGAGGTTTGATGCCAAATGCTACACGATCCCGTTTATCAGGTAAGGGAGTACTTAAAGAGGGTTCTGAAGTGGACTTATGCACCTGAGTTGATGAGGACAATGATGAGGAACTGTGGTGTTTTCTAGCCACACTAGATCCCAGGTCATTGCTAGGCCCACCTGAAGTGAACATTTTTTTTTTAATTCTGAAATTGTCATGGCATATATTTAACATTTAATATCCTAGGGCCGGTAAAATAGCCTTAATTAAATAGTAACATAATAAAAATAGAGTGTCCAATATCCTACAGCCCTTTAAGTAAGAAAATTGTCAAAATGTAACATCTTACATCTTAAGCTTTGAGTGGGAAAAACATGAACATTTCAACATCGTGAAAACTCCCACCCTTTTACAGTTATCAAAATTTGTCTAGTAGAGACTGTAGCGTCGGAACATTGTTGAAATATAATGTCTAATAATCCTAGGACCTCTGGAGTAATGATAACATAATGATAAAGGAATGTCCAATATCTTACAACCTTTATGTAATAATATCAAATATGAGTCTTTTAGTAACAACATTGTCAAAGTATACTGTCTAATTTCAGAGCCCTTCAGTGATACTACAGTGTTATAAGCTTAAAGAGCCAATAAAAACAATACTTACTGATTACTCCATTGACTCTGAATTTCTTGTTGTTGATGGTATGGTTTGGAGGCAGACTAGGGCCAATGACAGGGGTCTATTCAATATTAAAGCAAATTAAATTTCATTAAGTAACAGTTGTTTAGGACTAGGGATATCCATATTCTAATTTGTCAAACAAAACTGTGAAATTTCATGAACATCTTTCAAGAAAGTAACTGCTAAAATGATGACAAAGAGAATGATGGTAAAATTCTGTTTTAGTACTGTGGACTTGACATTTGACTGATGACTCATTGCAATAAGTGATGTATGGTTTTCAGAGGTATAAAAACGAAATATAACTACATTTTTTCAACTTATATCTCAAACTAGACTTGGAAATGGAAAATAAAGAGAACACTGGTCAACTGTAAAAGTTCACTACACTGTATTTTCCACAGTTGGCCGATTCAATGAAGCTATGTTGCATGGAGATATTATTGCACCACTAATATACAAACAAAATGTCATATTATTAGTTAGCTAGAAATATAAAGTACCGAATATGTTAACTTTTGTTTTATAGTTCAGTATATAAAGACAATACAAAGATGATCATAATTTATAGTCATGTCATTCAATATGGTAATTATCTTCAAAATAAAATAATGGAAATTAAATGACAATATTTTGCTGACATTCATGTACATGCATTGTGCAATTAAGCAAGGATTACCTTATTGTTCAAGGGCCTTGGGATAGATTTTGATGACATGAGTGAAGGCTTGGATTTAATGTAAAACAGCAAATATGCCTCACAGGACAACACACGTGTGGCACTGACTTGTTGAACCTGCATGTAAATAATTAGATACCACAGGATAACAAGAATTGTAAGAAGTATTGAAATACTGGTAAGTGCTACTTAAAAAGCTCTTCTTTCCTAGACCAACATAGTGTTATATGATCACTGAAAATAACACAATATCATTATATTCGTCTATGATATGGGTTGTTTTGCATGTGCAATACTGCTATCAAAACATGATGTAACCTGGCTGTGCCATATCTGTTTTACCTACTTAGCCGAACAACATTTGATTGACAAGAATGACAACTAATAGTTCTGAATGTTGTGCTAAAACATTTACAACATGTACTTTATGATAAATTATATATAATAATAGGACCATTTCAAGCCCATTGGGCTGTCATGGAGGTCTCATTTCACAGCGGTGTCAACCATCAGACATACCATTGAGTCATTCATGCAGTACCAGATCTGACTAGGTGATTTCACATAGCAGTAGTAATGACCGGAGTTACAGCTGAAACCAGAATGGACCAGTACAGCATACAGCTGGTACATCACCTTCTCTCCCTGAAAACACAAACCACCCATCAATGAAAGCAAATTCTTATCAAAAATGTAAGCCAAGTCTAAGAATCTTCCAATGTATACAGATTTGTACTGGGAGATTATGCAAATTTTTAATGGCAAGCATTAGTGCAGAAGGTATGAACTTTAAACACATCTTTCTTATAGCTTAGCAATACTCAATGGCGAGCATAAAAACTAGTTCAAAATTAAATTATCAACAGATACACAGAGTGATCACAAAATGATTTCAGTCTATATAATTCATCTTTCTCATATTTAATGTAAATATCATAAATTTACTTCAGCAGGCTATCTTAACAAATTAAATTATAACAGTTTTCATACAGTGAGTACATAAATAAATAAACTTGTGTTACTATGCTTGACTTCAGTTAGCAGTGCTTATTTTCCTCAATAATACCAAGTCAATCTTTTTCTTTTAGATGTTTGCTCATACCTCTGATATTGATCTAACTCATCAGTCAACTTACTTGTCTATAGCTCATGTATGGACGAAGGTTAAGTTTCTCAGGAAACTGAATGTGGCGGCTTACTTTACCCATCAATCTGTTGTAGTCAAACCTAGAAATAACACTTACTGTTAAATCACTGATCATTCACTAAAGTAACAGCCAAACACATGTGTCAATTCAGATGGTGAAACACAAGTTATAAGAAAACCAATCGCTACAACTGTACTGATCCTACAGGTTATACATTCTTATTTCAACAGTAAAATATTGACATTTTTAAGACACAAGGGATTTATTTACATCTATCAACATTATAAGAAATAATTGAATTACATGAAGCTTAAACACCTACCTTTTCAATGAGATTGTCAATATGTTTGGTGCCTTGTGAATGGAAAATCTTTTGTGAGCAGGAACTTTCTGTTTGCATCTAAAATGAAAGTAAGATGTTGTTAATTTGGTGTTTAATAAACAATCACATTGTAAAAATTTAAGCATGCAATTTTCACAAAAAGGGAATCCACTGATTCAGTAGAGTTAGTAGCGTGAACAGTTGATGAAGAGGACCATACTTACTTAGTACACATGTATGCATTGTCATTGTCTAAGGTCTCGGGATGCACATATTTTTCTAAAGCTTTCTCAAGGGTCTGCACAGCCTGAGTGAAAATAGAAAGATATGTGATTAGACACTACTGTCAACAAAACGGTATTTTACTCATGAACGGGAGAAATCAATTTATAGAAAAGGTTTCATTTGTAACAGATAAGGATCTAAGTCCAGGGTTCAAATCCCAGGTAATCTTATGTTTACTTCATCTTTTCTTTTTATCATGTGCTATTACATTATTAAATTTCACTTATTAAAAAGACAGATATTTTCTCTTACCTTAATATCCAAGCTGACATCCAGAAATGGGTCATAGGTATTTGACATCTCCTTACATCGCATACACTGGACTGAATACGAACAAAAATTTAAATGAGATGTCTTTTCCCCGACAAAAGCCAAATACTAATTAGGTATATTCATATTTGTCAATGTATCCATCTATGTATCTTAACAATGGAAAACAGGAAATGGGGACTTGGGGTTTCCTGTGATTGATTTATCTTAAAAATTTGAAATTCAAGTAATTCCTGAGTGCTTCTAAATTTCAAACAATTTTCCTCAAATATAAACTCAGCCGTTGCCTTGGTATGATATAAATATTGATAAAGTTTCATCAGAATCTGGTCATATATGATAAGTTAATGTCGAGAAACCATTCTTTAATACCAAGTTTCTTCAAAATAAATATTTCAGAATGCTATCTTGTGGAAGCTAAACAATGTGGATGGACAGACCGATGAACACTCCCTGTATCATGTATATGTCCTTTCAAATGTTTGGCTGCCTAAATTAACATTACAAGACCACAAACCATCAAATGATCATATACATACCTTGACTTCTGAGAAATCCTCCAAATATTTGGTTTACAACTGTAGTTTCCTTGCTGAATTTGTCCAATCTAGGATACACAGAAACAATGTTTATACAGAGTCACAATTTTTGTAAGATTATTTACATAAGTCCAAGAAATACCAGATATTAAATTCAAGTGCCAAATCTGCTAAAAGAGACTTTTTCAAAACTACTGCAAATACTGAACTTTCAGTGTTTTTGTGAATATATATACTTACTTGTTATGTCCATTGAGGCATGACCGCTGCATGGCATCCACCACATATCTCAGGAACTCGTGAGCATCTTCCTGACGACCCCAGTGCATGTGTTTGGCTATCACTACAGAGACACACAATGGATGGTCCAATGAGATATAAGTTGTGTGCTATCACATTATACATTTTTTACATGTCTTCAGTGTAGTATGTATACTTAACGGCATTTTCAGAAATATTGGTTTCAAGCAGTATTTCTAAACAATTAGTTTTGGAATACAAGATATATTTTTAAGTGATAGATTGTTTATTACTTCAATTTTGATTATAGATTTAAGCACAACATCTACAGGCTAATTAACATAATTATGTTACTGGTTCTATTGTACAGGGTATATGTATATAGCAGTACTTACTTCTCAGTTTCTGTAATACAGATTGTGGTTTGATGGCATTTCCTGAGTTTTCATAGCAACGCTTAACATGGCGCTGGAGCTCACACATCATGCAAAATCCTGCTTGTTTGCCTATAATATAAAGGATTAATATAAAAATTATATTAGTATTTTGAGAGCACCTGTATGGACACAGCTTATTAGTGCACTTACCAAAGTTTATGTAACACAGCATAATTTACCTTGGTGCAATCTCAGAGTTTAGTTAACATTTAAAAGAGTCAAAAAAATATATATCGCAATAAGGCTGTCATTGTTCCGTATCAATGACTTGACTATTTGCCGTGATTTTTGCCGATGTCGACTTGGATAGTTCAAACTACTATTTATTTTAGTGGCTAAAATTTCGTGTAATTCGAACAGGATTGACATTATTTTTTTTATTCTGTTCGCACTGACCTAAGGTTTACTGTAAACTTTGCAACAAGCTTTTCACTGTACATATCATCCAGAAGAACAATAACACAATATTTCCCAGCAGACTAAATTGTCCTCCCTAGGCATTTCTTTTGAACAAGAGGCCCAGAGGACCTGTATCGCTCACCTGGATATCTAAGCAATCATGGCAAAATATTCTCCAAATGAGATCCAAGGGAATATGCCAGACCCCAAGGCCAATCCAGGATCAATTCTAATATCATGACTGCATTTGTCTCTTTTTGCCCAGCATTTGTAGTTATAGTTTTGGGGTGGGGATCTCAACCGTTTTTAAGTTATGACCCAGGAGTTAAGTCTGCAAAGGTGGGGCAGACCCTGGGGTCAATTTTAATATCATGACTGCAATCGTCTCTTTATGCCCACCAATTGTATATATAGTTTTGGGGTGGGGAACTTAACCATTTTGAAGTTATGACCCAGGGGTTAAGGTAATAGGATTGTGTCACCATTTCTCAGTAGAATTTCTTCCAATTTTGTAGTTATATTGCGTTGAAGTAAAGAAATTTTCTGCCACAAGAAAAATATAGGTTGTCTGATTTTAAAGGATTTGAAATGAAAATTTATGTAAAAAGGAGTGAGTTTTGAAAAAAAAATGAAAGACACAATTTTAGGCAAAATAATATCAATAAAAATGATACTGACATGGATTAGTATTGCATTAATGTATATCAATTTAATAAATGCTGAAATTGTGTAAAATTAATTATCTATAAACGTTTAAAAATTGAAATTTTATAATAAAACCATGTGCATATAGTAATTGCATGTAAAGAGTTATCTTTCTTGAAAAACTTCACAGTAGTGAAATAGGTAGCCGGGTTCCTGAAGTACAGAAAAATGGACACATGTGACTCATTGATAAAAAAACAACTGAATTAATGCCTGGATTGCTTTGAAATACTTTAATATTGAGAGAACACACTGTTCTGTCAATAATAAACATGCAATATTTATCAGTTTAATATTAAACATCAGAATATGCGGAAATTGTGATACTGTCTCCCTACATTGGATTTTCAACTAGGGATGCACTTCCTATTTCCGTTTATCAAAACACTCCTATGACCTTAAGTCTCCAAGGGTGGGGCAGACCCCAAGGCCATCCTGGAAGCATATGTGAATTCATTTCTTTACACTTAGCAATTGTATATATGGTTATAGGGTGGGGATCTCAACTGTTTCCAAGCTGTGACTAAGAAACTAGGTCCCTAGGGGTTCAGTCAGACCCTAGGGTCTATTCTATTATCATGACTGCATTCGTCTCTTTATACCCAGCATTTGTATATATAGTTTTGGGGAGGGGATCTCAACCGTTTCAAAGTTATGACCCAGGGACTGTCTCCAAGGGTGGGGCCAGACCCTAGAGTCATCCTAGAAGCAACTGTGCATTCTTCTCTTCTACTCAGCAATTGTATATATGGTTATAAGGTGGGGATCTCAACCATTTCCAAGTGATAAACTTATTTTGGCCCCACCCCTTAGCCCAGGGGTTCAGCCCCAAAATTTGTACAATTGTGAATATCCCCCACCTAGGGGTGCTACCAGTCAAATATGGTTGATATATATATCCATCTCTTAGTTCCAGCAGAGAAGTCGCTTAAAGCAATATAGCCAAATTGCCCCCTTTTGGCCCCGCCCCTTAGCCCCCTGGGGAGTCAGCCCCACCATTTGTACAATTTTGAATCCCCATCACCTAGGGATGCTTCCAGTTAAATATGGTTGATATCCATTTCTTAGTTCCAGAGAAGAAGTTGCTTAAAGCAATATAGCAAAATTGCCCACTTTTGGCCCCTCCCTTCAGCCCCCTGGGGGGTCAGCCCCAAGATTTGTACAATTTTGTAAAGCAATATAGCCAAATTGCCCCCACCCCTCAGCCCCCTTGGGGATCAGCGCCACCATTTGTACAATTTTGAATCCCTACCACCTAGGAATGTTTCCAGTCAATTTTAGTTAAATTCCAATCAGTGGTTAAGAAGAAGAAGTCGTTTAAAGAAATTGTTGACGTACGGACGCCACGGTATGGCATAATTATAAGCTCACCTTGGTCCTTCGGACCCGGTGAGCTATATAGACGCATATCCAAATTTCTTTATATCCATGCCTACATTATTGGTTAAACATTAATTTTTCTGTCATCAAAAATCTGTTTAACAATACCATCAAAGAGTTTAACAACAGCTTGTACAATTTTCACAATTATATAAATATATACATGACCCTGATCTACAAATGAATGATGGATACTTTCATCAGTGTACAGATGAATTTTCACATCAATTAAGGATGTACATCTCTGAGAAGTCAAAAAATTCCTGTAATAAACTTTTTTCTTATATTGATTTTTGGAAAAAGGAGATAATGGCATAGTAGAAAATGCAAAAAAATATATATGTCCGTGTGTTCGTTTTTGCGCTATGATCGGTCAAAGATATCAATTTAACACAATAGGTGATTTTAGGTGAATTTTCGGGTTTTGACCATTTGCAGAACAAATTCATACAATTTCTTCCAAGTTTGTTATCAGATATGTATGAATGTTTGTAGAATTGATAAAAATATTATTTTCTTATAAATTTTGGAAGTAAAATTTCTTAATCTTATTCATTTTACTCAGAAATGCGATTTTAGTTACCCCTACCCCTTATTTTTTAATGAAAAAATACCCATTTTTCACCATTTTTCGCAGATTAAACGCTTAATATAAAAAATCCTGTATTAAACTTTTTTTAGTAATCAATGAATCAAAAGAAAATTAGTTTCTCTTTCTAAAACAGCCACAAAAATGGGGGGTCGGTGTGCTACTTTTTTTGTCCCATTATTATTTGTGTTATTTTTCACCTTTTTCGGGGTCAAAAATCAAAAGTGCTTCAGTTACCCTAATATGTAAAAAAAAATACCAATAATATATAACTTTCCACTTTTTTGCATATTATTTTAATCATATTGAACATTATAAAGTTGTACAGCAAAATTGAACCTGCTACATTTAACAATGGTGACACAATGACAATTTAAGTGATCAATCTAGTGTCAAAAAAGGTGAAATTTTGCTTTTTGTGAAGCGCAAGAAATTCACATAAATACACTTTTTCAAAATGGCCGCCAAATTGGTCATTTTTTTCCAATTCTTGTAAAAAATGTTCTACACACAACAAACATCTAGTTTTTTGACATGTTTTTCAGATGTGTGTTTGCTATTAAACCTATCATAATTTGTTAAATATTACAAAAACCCGTTGCACTAGATCAAAACGAGACTTGAACGTGACTGAAACCTCAGAAGAGTACATCCTTAAGAAGAAAACTATGTTTATTTAATTGTAATTGGTTTTACTATATTCCTCGCCTTTTTTGCTGCAGTTATATTCACCTTTTTTGCCCTCAATAATGACGGCAAATTGATCATTACAAGTGAACATTTGGAAACAACATAATTAATACAGTAATTAAATGGTGAAGTTAACACTTTCTTTGTGTTATAAATTTGTTCAGCGATTCTTAACGATAAAAAAATCCTGACATTTGGTCCGGTACGACTATGTTTTAACCCGAGACTATTATTTTATCGGAAATGTCTGACAGTCTCAAGTAGTTTGGCACACACTGCAGGCATTAATGATTTAAATGAATAGCTATAGGAGATTGTCATTTGGTACCAAATTTATACACCACAAAAACACTGTTCTATTTTTACGAACATCTACTAGATGTTGTGCTGCTTAGTGTAAAGTGTTAACCTTCCTTTCGAGTGTATGTATTAGAGTAGTTCCATTATTTCAAATATACACCCACTATTGAAGGCATACTTTGTACATAAAACCAGCTACTTACATGTGGTACTGTGTTCGTTGCTAAGGCAGAACCAGCTACTTACATGTGGTACTGTGTTCGTTGCTAAGGCAGAAGTTAACAAGAGGAGCTGTGTATGTGAGGCACTGGAGGGTGGAGTTTAGGAAGCAGGTGTTTCCCATGTTCACCAAACCTGCCCCGATTTTCTGCATCTTCCTCCATTCTAACTGAACCTTCTCCTCTGGATACAGAACAACTTTAGGTGTCGGTAGGGAGTCTCCGTCTCCTTCTCCATTCATTCTGGAACCTGAAGTCATCACAATTTATTAAATTTTTGAACATGCAAAGTGTATTCTATTTCGATTATACTTGTTGCAGATCTAAATTTTGAACATGATATATATAAGTTGCACACCAATAAAAATGAAATCTAAGGGGAAATAATTTGTTATCAGAGTTTCTTTCCTTTCCTGTTCACTCCTATATCAAGATGCTAAAATTTGACCCCTGTGTCGACCTTGAAAGAGAATCAAGTTATTAATTTGAACAAACTTGATCGCCCTACATCCTGATACTGGTCAGTTTATCATGACCCATGGCCAATGCTTCTTGGCTATTCGGAGGATGTTGTTTAAAGGTTTTAATATATTTGATCCCTATGACTTTGAAAGTGGGGGCAAGGGCAAGCATACTACACTGACCAAATAATCCAAGACCTATTGATAATACAGAAAAACCTATTTAAATATAAACAGAAAAGTTGATGCCTGATAGACATTCCACAGTGTACAATTCTGCTATAGCCTGTGCACTGAGATAGTAGATTTTATGTCTGGCTAGTGATCTTTTTTGAGACTTTGGTATGAAAATATAGGCAGGTCTATTACATTTTTTTTCAAACACAGGATCAGTCAAAGGACTTAAAGTTGTCCACATATGAAATTGTACATCCTTGAGCTAAACATTTTGTTCTGGAACAAAGCAATTAACTCACAAGTCACCAAGAATCTATTATTGAACTTCTTTTTGCTACACACAAATCTTAGCTTATAAATAATGATTGCTGGGTTTATCCATTAAATTAATTCCATAAGCTTATATATTATGGGGTTATTTAGCAGCTAATTTTGTTCAAGAACAATCAGTTCAATTTCTAATTTATTGATACCACAGGCACTTTGAAACAGACAGATGATGGATGCTGTACCATGGCATAAGCTTGGCCTTCATACCAGACAGGCTACATATAAACATTATTGGTTCACTTTAAACCAATGCAAAGGTGACCTGTGAAATTTTCAATTTGGAAGGTATTTAAAACAGTTATAATGTATACAAATCAACAGCAAATATGTTTATTTATTGACAAGAACAGAATAGAAAAACATCTGTACATTATAAATTATAAATATATTTAAACTGACAAAAATGAATATATATATTTTCATTTATGTCTGAAATTGTCTTCACATATCACTAGACTAGCTAATTAAATTGTTTACCTATTTATGCATTATTACAATGAGCATATCTGCTGATAAATATCTTAATCTAACAGCAGTATTTTTTTGTTGGTGGGTACATAGTCTGTCCTGAATTACTGCTAATTTCCAACACTTTTCTTAACTCAGTGAAAGTAATGAATGAAATAAGCGATTATTCTGGATATGATTTCAATCTGATTAAAAATCATAGGTTACATGGCTTCGTTAACTTCGTACTACGCCTGAACATCTGAGTGTGCCGCTGTCAGGGTCACGTTGAGGTGACCTTTATATTTATAAATACTCATTAAATTTTGACCAATCAGAGACCCTCTTTCAAAAAGGCGCTCGGAGTTGTAACAAATATGTCGGACATTAATGAGAATGATGCGAAATTGAAGCTTTATTAGAGAAGAAAGACCAGGGGTCGACACTAACGGTAGACCAGAGGACCGGGTCCACCAAAATCTTGGACGGTCCACTTAATCTCCAAAGCTGGTAGACCGCCGGTCCACCACATATTACTTGATTAGTGTATATATATTTGAGAATATTGTTCAGAAATATACTAATAAAGACTTTATTTACTTCGCCAGCGAGCCGTAANAAGTTGTCGTTATCATTCTTGGACGAGTGAAGTGCGTGAATCCGCTTGCGGTAAGTCGGAATCTTTTCAGCGTTTGAGTCGCTTGTGGTATAGTTTGCCGCTATTATAAGCACTAAAATGACGATGACGTCACGATCACGGTGGTCAACCGGTAAATGAAGGTAAACTTAGCCTCACAATTTCGTGTTACGTTTTAATTTCTAGCGTATATCGTTTAGGTGATCGTGTCTGTCGATTAACTTAGTATCTGTACTAGACTAGTACCGTATCGCCTGTGTCGCGATTTTTAAATGGCTTGGTTTACAACCACTGGCAAAAAAAGAGTTAAAAACTTCACCAGAACAAAAACAACACGAAGTTTGTATGGGCAACAAAAAGGATGATATCCTTTCAGGAGTCATGGAAAAATCGTTTACATGGCTCAATAATGATACTGACACAAACTTAATGAAATGTAGGGTATGCTGCACTCAGAAGATGATTCCGAAATGTCCAGGAAGGATTGAATAGAGGTGCAACAAAATACGTAAAGACTACTGTTGGGGCAAATTTGTTTGACATTCTGACTGTATATTGAGATAAAGATCATATAAAAAAGGTATAATACTATAAAAAAGTATATTATTTTATCCTTATTTTTTCATATGATCTTTATCTCAATTTACAGTCAGAATTTCAAACACCTTTGGATGGGAGCTATGTAAAAAAAAATAAACAAGGAGAAAATTGTTTCATGTTTCTGTGTCATTTACTAAAACTTGGTCATAAATGGAAAAAATAAAAAAATAAGGAGAAAAAACAAGTATTTTACAGAAAATTAAAAAACCTTCATTATTTGTTTAAAACGCTCAGATGCCAGGATTTTGCATCTAGCTTTTAAAAAAAAATTGGGGGAGAACCCCCATACCCCCCTCCCGAACCCACCCCCCACTCCTCGCTACGCTCGTCGACCGGGGCGCAAAGTGCCCCAGATCTGAGAATATTATTCAGGTCCACCAGAAATTAACCAGGTCCACCAGATTAAGAGAGCAGGTGGACCACAGGTCCACCACCTATTAAAAGTTAGTGTCAATCCCTGAAGACTATGGTGGTGTTGCCTACGCAATTATTACCCAATGGATACGCTTTACTTGGCGTCGTAGAAACGCCAGTTCTCGCCGCCATATTTGTTTTGGAAAACTAATCTGTTCGATACCCCTCGCTATTTATCTATCAACCATGATATTCCGATTCGCTGGCAAACTTTTGCCAGCACGCCTCTAATTGGTTCATCTAAAGGTCACTTGAACGTGACCCTGACCGTGGCACATTCAGATGTTCAGGCAGAGCCATGTAACAGATGATTTTAATCAGATTGAATATGATTTAAAACTGAGAAAGTAATTTGAATAATCTTCGCAGAAAATAAATATATGGTAGAAAGTAATTGCCATTTGGTTACTTTCCATTTCAATTTTGAATTGGTTTACCTTCTTTCTGTTTATTACTGCCATTCTGCTCAGTAGAATATTTTTTGAACTGATTCAGAGGTATATATTTAGCTCTCAAAGAGTCCACTTGCAGAGAATATGGCTTCTCTGCTGGTTTGAAATCAATCTTATGCAAGAGGACTTGTTTGGAGGAGGATAGAAGTTGACTATCCAAGCTCTCCTCCCCAGCCAAGGAGGACTTCAATGACTCCTCAATTTGCCCTATATTTTCTGAGGAACTTGCAGGCATAGCATTGGTTGGTTAATCTGCAAGAACAAAACATTACAGTCAGTTGTATATATGTAAACGGTATATTGTTTCAGTACATAGATATATATAAACAGTAAATAGATGTAGGATATCCAAAATACAAGAGGCCTAATGGGCCTGCATCGCTCACCTGGTATTAATCTCACACTTTTAATCTTAAAAGTCATCCCAGCATGTTACTGGCAAACTATCATCACCCTAGGCCTCTCGGTTATTCAGAAGAAGTTGTTTAAAAGATTTTAACATTGTTGACCCCTGTGACCTTGAATATAAGTCAAGGTCATTTATTTAAAAAATCCTGGCAGCCCTTCATTCCAGCATGTTTCTGGCCAAATATTATCACCCTAGGCCTCTTGGTTTTTCAGAAGAAGTTGCTTAAATGTTTTTTAACATATTTGCCCCCTGTGACCTTGGATATAAGTCAAGGTCATTTATTTGAACCATCCCAGCATGTTACTGGCCAAATATCATCACCCTAGGCCTCTCGGTTATTCAGAAGAAATTGTTTAAAAGATTTTAGCATATTTGACCCCTGTGACCTTGAATATAAGACAAGGTCATTTATTTGGAAGCCCTTCATCCAAGCATGTTACTGGCCAAATATCATCATCATAGGCCTCTTGGTTATACAGAAGAAGTTGTTTAAAGATTTTAACATATTTGACCCCTTCAGGCCAGGTGAGCTAATAACTGGTGGCCAAAAAAAAATAAAAGAGGCTGAGGTGATATTGGGTGCTGAAATAAAACATGTAAGAAAATTGCAATGATCAGTCTAGATCTGGGATTGACATCGGGTACTTCAAAACACTTAACAATACACATTGATCAATTGAACCATCAGGTCACCATCTGACTCGGTCCAGTTTAACTGCATTCTTCCTCCTACAATATTTTTTTAACTAAAATATTTTGTGTATAGATCTTTAATACAACAATAATTGCGTAACAGGTAAAGCCTCTTAAACCCTCTCCTTACAATAATAAAGAGCATACAAATCATATTAAGAATAGAATGTTCAGGTGTTAACTACTGATTTTAGTAGTTAATAACATTATATAGATACTATGACTACCAATTGTTACAAATATACTTATCTATTCTTAACCACTACCATACAACAGCTGGCTCTGGTTATTCAGCCATGCAGACTCACTAGACTATGTACCACACTTTCAATGGCAAAATTTAGCTGGATGCTGACGTAATGGAAATGAACTGATGCAAAGAATTGGATTGATTAAATATAAATTTTCCTGGAACTTGCAGTTTTCTAACAAAATATTTGTTTCAGGTATCATTCCAGGTTGAGGAAGTGTTTTTAAATTATTTGTTCATAATGTAGTTATGGAGATTTCAATATTATTGATGTAATACCACATAACAAGCATTTATAGCTTTCAGTGGACCTTTATTGACATTTTGCAATTCCACAAGTCAAATACAATTTTACCTAAAGTTTGGAGAGTCAAAAAATGTCAAGTAGACGTGGGCCCCCTTTCGCGTACCCGGTTCAACCAATTGAAACGGTTGAACCTGTAAAGAAAACGACAGGCACAGATCTGAACCGAGGCTAACTTCAGGAATGTTCGGCACGTGTAGATTGAGCGGTCCAGTATATGCTAAACAGGTTGTGGTAAAGTTTAATTCTTAAAAAATGGGTATTTTGTTAGGAAATCGACAAAAAATGCATCGCGATTCAGAAGTCAATTTCAAGGGAAGTAACTCTTACATTTGCAAAATATGCCATAGCAATGAACAAAACAAGACTGGTACTAGACTGGAAACACAATTTATTTATGAATGTAAACATGGAATAAATTGTCTTATTCATTGCAATGATGTGGTGGGGAGACACGAAGGTTTGTGTGACACACAAGATGTGGTGGGGAGACACAAAGGTGTGTGTGACACACAAGATGTGGTGGGGAGACACGAAGGTTTGTGTGACATACAAGATGTGGTCGGGAGACACGAAGGTTTGTGTGACATTTGAACTTTGACTGATGACCTCAAAAGGTTGACGAGTTTACAGCTAGCACAATTAAGGTGCAATGAAATGGTCAAAATCCATTCACATAAATTTGAAATATTCATCGTTTCAATAAATATATTCACAAACGTTTTCTTTACGATATACCAATGGAAAAATCGAACTATTTAGTGGATATAACACTTACATTTTGCTATGGCGTGCAAAAACTCCTATGGCGTATTTTAGTGTGACTGCAACTGGGATATGTACGCGAATGTTACCTTGTCCTTTAAAACGTAACAGTCAAAAACATACTCTCAATGGTCTACGTATACTCAAGTCCGGAAAAGATGTACAATTTATCACATTTGAATTCAAGTTATGTTTATTAGACAAGAAATTCATTATTATATTGTCTTCAATTTCATGTCATCAAAATCAACACCATATAAATGTCTGAGCAATGGATAAATGGATAGATTGGGACCTCGTGGTGATAAACGTGTGGCTAGCGAGTGCTCGTGCGCATAAAATGCTAACATGGCCCCCCAAATCTTGTAAGCTTACTTCAATCATAACTCGATTATTCGAACTGCAACGGTAGAAACTATGTTACGATGGGCACAGTATCGAACTATGCGAACACGCAGCAAGGCTCATAATCGAATGATAACAACATGGAATCCACATTGTTTCTGGCCACGAGACACGACACCGGTTGACAAAATTATTTTGTCTAAGGAAAGCCACGGAATGTATAGGCTTGGTATACATATATTTATCTAGGTAAATGGCCAAGCGAAAATGTAATATTCATCTCAAACATAAACGTACAAGGGAAAGCATGTAAAAATGTATAAATATTACCTGCAACACCCAAGACCGAGTAGATTTCGAATGCAACATCCGGGTATTTCTGTAGTAGTTCTTCCTTCGCATGCGCATGAAACAATATCCTGTTTTATTGCTTGGTGCGTTCGGAAATAAAAATATTTTAGCATTAAGGATCCCTGTACAGGGGATGAATTACTGAAAGGTGATCCGAACATTATATACAACAAGTTCATAGACTTTCATTTTTTTCTTCTTTCAATTTCCATTCCAAGGCATAATCAAGTCAGACTCTCGGAAGGGTATTGATATAAATGTGTTTACTGCCACCGTTTTGTTGGTGACTGTGATCTTGCCATTCCTTTACTGTGTTTTTTTTGCGCAACCTATTTTGTGTTTCAGAATTACACTTTCGTGGTCAATGTTGCTCTTACTAAAACTAGAACCTTGGCTTTGAGGTAGGAGTCTTGAACAAATAATTAAAAACGTCTTAAATTTTCGACGAAATGCTCTTATTTGGCCATGAAAAAGGGACAAAACTCTGCCGAATAGCGTTTAAACGTCACGATTTAAGAAGTCATTCAAAGCATTCAGGTAATGAAACAACCAAGTTGTTTAATAAAAATCGGAGAACAATTGTTTGAGTTATCGTGTAAACAAGCAAAAGTTAACAGCAAAAATGAAGTACAGTGTTGCTATGTCAAGTGTGATATGCCAGAACGCGGAAAGTTGAAACTCGACAGAAAACCCCGTAATATAAGTTGAACATTATTGCTTCTAGCATTACCATACTAAATTTGAAAGGAATTGATTAAAAAAATGAAAAGTTCTTGCATTTACTATACAATACCCTTGTTTGGCAATGAAAGAAGCATAGCCCTCGACGAAAAAGGGACAAAACTCTGACGAATAGCTTTTAAATATCACGATTTTAGAACTCATGCAATCCATGCAGGTAATGAAAAATGATGAACAGCGTTGTTATGTCAAACTGTGTGATATGCCAAAACGCGGTAAGTTGAAACTCGACAGAAAAACCCGTAATAGATGTTGAACATTAAAGTCATTATTGCTTCTAGCATTACCGTACAAAAATTTGAAAAGAATTGATTAAAAAAAAAAAAGTTCTTGTATTTACCAACACTGCCCTTATTTGGCAATAAAAGGGGCATAACTCCACCAAAATGCACGTTAACTTCTGTAATGCGAACTCGTTCAAGCTATATTGATATGCAATATGTGTACCAAGTTTTATGAAGATATGTTCACGAATAAAGGCAGTAGAGCGATGACAAGTAAAAGTTAACGCACGGACATCGGACAACACAGCCCATACCATAATACGACCTGTCGGACGACGTGCGTATAAAAACAGGAACAAAATCGAACCCAGGAAATTATTGACCAGTAAGTCTTACCAGCATAGGAGGAAAGACGACGGGAAAGGTAGTAAGACACGCCATTGTTACTCATACCGAGAATAATACTATTTTCAGCAATAAACAGTTCGAAGTTATTGCCAAAAGATCAACTGTACTCCAGCTCACCCGTGCAGGTGGGGGATCGGGAAAAGAATACACCTGCTGTTACCCACTGCATGTACCGTAGGAGGCGACCAATGTGGAAACCCCCTGCAGAATTGGGGATTTGCTTTGGTGTCCTCTTTTAGGGGACACAAAAGCGACCAAAGTAAATCTGCTGCGCCCATTGCAATATATGGGATCTTTATCTTTCTATCAACTTCTAACTGCCTTTTATTTCCTAGTGCCTTGCTTGGCAACACCTCACTTTTGGCTTGACTGTTGAGCGTTCGCAAAGGTGAGGAAGGCAATGAGTTCTGTCCCCAGGCCGGGACATACCAAAGTCCTTAAAAATGGTAGTTGTTATTCCCTGCTTAACGTTCAGAATTAAGGGGAATTGCAACAACTGGTTCACCCGTTGTCAGTATAATGTGACCGGGCGGAATGCTGTGCTTGGTACCTTCGGCGTGGCATTTCAGTGGGTAGCACTATAAAGTCGGCATCAAATTCGTGCTATTACAAGGAGGCAAACACACCAACATTCCCTGTCTCCTGCATACACACACGCAAGCACGCATATGCTACACACATGGAGGCACGTCCTTAAATTACCTTAGCTGTTAACAGGACGTTAAACATAATTAAACCAAACCAAACCAAGTACTCCTGCTTTAAATGGTGCTTGATGATTGGACAGATATTTTTATATCATGGAGGGGAGATTGATGTCATTTACATGGATTTCATGAAGGCGTTTGAAAACATTCCACACCGCAGACTAATTGGAAAACTTAGGAATTACAGAATAAATTACCAAGGCACTAATTGAGTAGAAAACTTTCTTAAACAAAGGAATCAAAGGGTAATTGTTAATGAAAATTCATCCAAAGACCATCCCGTATTAAGTGGAATCCCTCAAGGAAGTGTCCTAGGTCCTGTACTATTTGTAATCTACATAAATGATAATCTATAGAGAAATTATGAGCGATGAAGATAGAAAAGTGATACAACAAGACCTGGATAATTAACAGGACTGGTCCAACACATGGCTTTTGAAATTTCACCCCCTTAAATGTAAAGCTCTTTCAATAAAAAGAAAGGAGGTTAGAAGCTACCAAATGGCTAATGCAGGAGAAGATAAAGTTTGACTGGAAAATATATCATCTGAAAAAGACATTGGAGTATTGATGGATACGTATCTGAGTTTTACGTCTCACAATCAGCAAGCAGTAAACAGACAGCATTATGGGGCTTATCATAAGATCATTTGTATGTGTGAATGAAGTAACTTTTAAACAGCTGTTCAAGGCGCTAGTCCGTCCGCACCTGGAATACGCGACAAGTGTATGGAACCCATACAAAGTTAATTTCATGAAATAGTAGCCGAGAAATGATTGGAAAACTGTATTACACTGTATTTTAGTACTTGTGGTCAGGGTCAAAAGTCGAATAGAGCACACAGTGACCCCATTTTAGGATGCCGTACACCGTTTTTTCGTGGTGTAGCTATATACACAGTTCAATGCCCGTTCATGAAAAATTACTGAGATATGTTCTAGAAATGACAGTTAGAACTGACGGAGACAGGTTTGTTAGCACGCTCGGACAAAGCCAGTACATTCTACATACCCCGTCTACTAAAGCCAAAGCGAACATCCTGAACAGGAACATTTTTACACAAAATTGATAACAAGGCTCACAATAACTCTGGAACCGAGAATTTATATCTATTTTCCGCATTTGTGATTCTTAAATAAAATGTATGATACATACTGAGTGTTTGGAAGCTGTGCTTCAACGTGTGTGTAATATATATACATCGATTGACAACGTGTTTGTAATATATATACATCGATTGACAACGTGTTTGTAATATCTATACATCGATTGACAACGTGTTTGTAATATATATACATCGATTGCAAAAGTCGTAAAGAAACATTACACATCATACAGGTAAAGTAAAATATGTATACATTCTTCACTAATTTAATGACGCTACAACTAAAGTAGAGAGTGTTTCGTCACTGATATACATGTACGTCAACTGAAGTAAAGAGTGTTACGTCACTGATATAGTTATATTACGACAACTGATGTCAGGGCGTAGTCCTTGTTCGGAGCGGGACCAGGGGCGCTATACATGGTTTGTATTAGCATCAATATTGCAGCTGGGGTTGCTCTACTAAATGCAGGTTGTAGATGTTGTATTTGAACAAAAATGACTTAGCAGCTTTAAGAAGAATTGCACAATGCGGCGCCTTTTTATGCCTGAAAAAGTAATAACAGTTGAGTATGGCGATCTCAGTAACATTCGGGAAACGAGTGGGGATATTGATGACTGCATCTTCTTGTTGTTCATGTTTCTGTCTTGTAAAGAGGACAGATTACCTTAAAATCATTACAAATGTCTTTGTCTGCACTGTCGTTATTACTGCTTTGCTTATATATCTATTTAAGCAGAGACGTATATATTATATATGTCTGTTTTAAGTAATACGTACCCAACGAACATTTGTTTGTTCGGATCCAGTGCCCGATCATACGTACTGTCGTAATAACTGATAAAGTCATGAGACCTACATATATATCCCGATTACTAAGAAACCCTAAGTAACTAAGAAATTCTTTATGTCATTTCTTTTGTATTTAACTATTACTTTGGGTGTTTTTTATGTGTATACATATATATATCGCGTAGTTACCGGTATCTTAACGATAGACGCATTTCCAAGCTAGAACAATCCCAAAATGTGAAAATAATGATAATCTAGAAATGATGAAATGTGATCTAACAAAAAACGCCAACTTATTGTAGCATAGGACTTTTGAACATATATGTGATTTAGCCAACGAAAAGAAATTAACAAGCCCAAAATACATCATTGATTTAGCTAATCTGAATAACTTACAAAACTTACCAACTTAGTGATAACAATGATTTTTTGAATGTTTGATTTAGCCGATCTGGATAAATATGAAAATAAATAAACACCGTAGTATAGTCAATAAATTACAAGATTATATATTTAAACTTTATTTCATTTACAGTATGATGTAAAGCAATACACAATTGTTGAAATTGGAATTGGAAACAATTTTACAACTTATGTAGATCCATCTACAGTGGAGGAAATACATATGATTAATTACTGTTGTTGTACCACGTCGATCGGAAGCTCGAGCTTGTGGAGACGTCTAAATATCACCTTCTGATTTGATACGTTGCCAGCAGAATAGCCTGCCAGCAACGGACTCCGGTTGCGCAGGGATTAAAACTATTTACATTGTATCAAGCTTTTACACTTTATTTTATTGTAAATATTTGTTTATTATTGATTATGTGAATTTATGTATGATTTACAATCTATATGTTTATACCCTTAATTATACCAGGGACAGTATATTCACTATACGTCCCTGATTATACTATAAGGAGTAACTAACATTTTAACGGTAATATGTTTATTACTATTTCTTTTCGTTTAATCAAGATTCCCATGTGATTCATTAATGATAAAAGGAAGGGCAGAACTTCCTGGGGTGATTCCTCCACGGTGTGTTTAAGTCGACTTGAACTCATTAAGTGTTTTTGATGGCACAGTTTCCTCAGGTAGACTGTTCCAGACCTTGATCACTCGGTTACTAAAGACATTCTTACTAGTGTTTAGACTGAAAGATTTCTTGAATATTTTTTTAGAGTGACCTCTAGTGATATTGAGTGGTGTAGGCCGAAACATCAGTCCGTAGTCTAACTTGTCGATCCCGTTCAATATTTTGTACAGCTCAACAACACCTGCCCTCTCACGCCTGTATTCCAGAGATGGTAGACCTAGTGTTCTTAGGCGTTCATGGTAGGGCATAGCCTGTATTTCTAGTACTCTTTTAGTGGCTCTTCGTTGGACATTTTCGATAGCTATTTAGTCCTTATTTAGATACGGTGACCACTCTTGCGTAGTGTATTCCAGATGTGGACGGATTGGGGACTTGTACAGGGTTGTAAAAGAGCTATGTCCATAAAAATGAAAGTTCTAAACAGAATACCTAATATTTGGTTAGCTTTCGACTCTGCTGCATTGACTTGGGTTGATAATTTTAGGGTGTTGTCAAAGTGAACTCCAATGTCCTTTGCTGTGGCTACTTTCTCTATTTCAGTAGTTTGTCCATCTTGCGTCAAATAGTATTTTGATGATTTTGGTTTATTACCGATCTCCATATGTTCGCACTTCTTGGTGTTTAGCTTCATGAGCCAGCTCTCGGTCCAATTACTTACTTTGTTGATGTTTATCTGGAGTTGCTGTCTTTCTAACTGTGTAACGTTTTGATAGCCCGTTATACATTTGGCTGGGTGTCAGACGTTTCGCCCCAAAACCGTTACGCCCCAAACCAGTTCGCCCCAAATTTGATTCATATCGCCACAACCAGTTCGCCCCAAAAACCCATAACGCCCGAATAGTTCGCCCCAAAAAAACATAACGCCCCAACTAGTTCGCCCCAAAAAAATATAACGCCCCCTTCCTAAAAAAGGAGCTTGCTTATTTTGCCATTATTATGTGATTGTGTTTACCGTGCTAAGAGGAATAACTCTTGTTTCGTGTATACTACGGAAAGGTCGGCGCATTAAATATATACATATTATTTTAGTTTTGCAAAGCCGGAATAGTAAAAGTGATATGTTTCCTTGAACGTTTGTTTTCAGTTTATGTTTCCATAATATGTGACTTACGGAAATGTAGCATTTTGTACATTCTTTCATTATACACCGACGCGTGTGGCTTTAAAATAAACAACAAATCCATGTTTTCATGTGCTATTTATAAAGAACATATTTCTTTTAGATATGTGTACATCTTGTCATCAAACGTTGATGCCTGTACCTATTAAACAAACAGCAAAGCCATTTTTCGACGATCTGTAGTAAATTACTTAGATCAGAGAGGCAATTATTTTCCAAATTCCTGAACATTTTGTGTCGCCGAATTGATGGCAGGTGCTATTAAAATAACAACGTTAGGAAAATATATCCTCAAAAATATTAAGTGATGCATTGTGCATGATATATATCTTTGTGTTATATTATGTAGTATCATTTGTTAATGTAAGTTGTTGTTGTTGTAAGTAATTAATTATTAACTCTCTCTCTATATATGTATATTTGTACAATAATTTTCAGGTATATGTAAAAGATAATTAGATTATTTCCACGCGTGCCGAAGGTAGCTAACGTATCATATCTATAATATCTATGTTAAGCATGTATTGTATATTTTAGATGATATATATGTTTAAGATAATCAGATTATTTCCACGCGAAATTATTCGAAACAAGAAATGATTATTTGATGTTGACAAGGAAGTACATTCACAGCTCTGAAATTGAAAGAGTTACCTCCCATAACCTGCATTTTATAGTTCAATATAGGTTCGCAGCGGTTGGGGCGATACAGCATTTTTGGGGCGATATAGCTTTTGGGGGCGAAACGGATTTTGGGGCGATATGGTTGTCATACTTGGGGCGAACTGAACTGAAAATTTGGGCGATGTGAAAAAAAATTGGGGTGTAAAGGTTTTGGGGCGAAACGTCTGTAATTCCATTTGGCTAGACTCACTATTATTATATTTACCAATTTGAAAAAAGGCCAAACAGGCCGACTTAATGAATGATCTCCTAATCTTAATAGATTGAAGATACTAAGGAATCTTTTTAAATTATACAGTACTATGTTCTGTAAGCCAGATTTTCGTCTCTTTAACGTTTGCATGCTTTGCCATTCGAACTCGCCCAAAATGGCCGCATCCATGTGGGGAAGGACAGTTGTCAACACTGTGAAATTGGTATACCCTGTGCTTCGTAGAAGAAATTGTCACAAGTTGTTAGTGGGTGTTCCGAAATATGTCGGCTGTCCTTTACCTTTAAATAATTATGTGGGTGGTCGCACCATTTATTTAACGAGTGTTCACTACTGCACTGTTAGTGACGAAACCGTCAAGAAAATGATGGACACACTTACTGACAAGTTTACAGAGGCCCGGGAGCTCATGCAAGATGCGGTAATTATTACATTACACGTTTTGGTACCTGGCTGTTTCGGTATTTAATAATACTGACTATAAAATCATCGACACACAAACAATTTCTGCAAAGATCATTATTGACATAGTTCTTGACAGTTTGGGCACAACGGCGCATATGGGTAATAAGCCTGCATTTAGGTAACAGTTACCCATTTGAGTAACAATTTTATTACTGAAATGGGGAATAAAGTGAAATAAAAACACACAAAGTTCTTTTAAACACCTAGAGCAAAAAAGGGCGTCATTCTGTCAACTAAATCAAATAAATAACACAATGAAGTACATTTGTGCACAAAAAATTATCAATTCTGATGTTTAACTTTTTGTGAAAAGGATAAACTATATCACTGACTTTGTTCTCCATTGACTTCAGTGTGTAGTCAATGGGACTATCCAGTGCAAATGTGACAGGTGAGCATGATTTTTTATGTGTGCTATTTATAGCTACTCTACAGGACACTAAGCAATGGAGGTGATACAATTTGTCATTTTCACAAAAATTTAGACAACTGAATTTACATACTTTTGTACACAATTGTACCTCATTGTATTTTTTATTTGATTATGTTGAAAGAATGATGCCCTTTTTTGTTCATAATGTGTTAAAGAACTTTGTGTGTTTTTATTTCACTTTATTACCCATTTCAGTAATAAAATTATTACTGAAATGGGTAACTGTTACCCGAATGCAGGATTATTACCCATATGCGCTGTTGTGCCCAACCTGCTTGACATTGGTGTATCAAGCAACTTCCACATTTTTTTTCATTTTGATGTTCACAAAACTAAATCAAGTAAGGTCAACATTTTCTTTTTACTCTGCAAAAAGTAACTTTCTCCCATTTAGTTATTTGACAAGTGAGTTGTTCAACCCAGTCAATTGAACTGCTAAGATCCTCAAAGTTGAAAATATTTGCTCGAGACCAAAGATATCAGTGGTGGCCGGAGCTGAACTTGCCCCAGTCTCCCCTACCTTATACCTGTTACATGCTATCTAGACCAACTAAGTTAGACTACCTGTATAAGCCCATTTATTGGTAGTAGCAGAACTTGACTGGATTGACTGCTGACAGGGTTACAGTGTCTGTCTCGAGTTTGGAGGTCCCAGATTTGAATCCTTGTCTGTCATGTGTCTTCAGGGTCGAAGACTTCATTAAAGGAAGGATGAATGTAGTAGATCATCTGGTGACCAGTCATGATTTTCTGATTTTTTTGAAGTCTAAGATGTCTGCTCTGTTTTTGTGAATAACGGTGAGCTAAATTTGAAATGGCAGTGAAGACACAGGATGTACTACTTTTATTGGCATGCCTATCATGTAAATATATCTGTTTGATAATATTAGTATTTTTTTCTTCTGTTTTAAGCGAGAAAGCCAAGGCAGTGTCTACTTCTCAGATGACATGTCTGAAGCACAGGAAGCTGTACAAGACACGTTAGACGAGTACAAGTCACTTCTGAGTAAACTGAATGAAACACAAAAACAAAATGTGGTTAGGACTATTGGACTCCGAATGGAAGAGCTCAAAGCCCAACAGACAGCATTGGAAGAAAGTCTAAAGGACTAACTGTGGCAGGCTAGAGGAGAGTCTAAAGCACTGACTTTGTCAGGCTAGAGGAGAGTCTAAAGGACTGACTGCGGCAGACTAGAGGAAAGTCTAAAGGACTGACTGTGGCAGACTAGAGGAAAGTCTAAAGGACTGACTGTGGCAGGCTAGAGGAGAGGCTAAAGGACTGACTGGGGGCAGGCTAGAGGAGAGTCTAAAGGACTTACTGCGGCAGGCTAGAGGAGAGTCTAAAGGACTTACTGCGGCAGGCTAGAGGAGAGTCTAAAGGACTGACTGTGGCAGGCTAGAGGAGAGTCTAAAGGACTGACTGTGGCAGACTAGAGGAAAGTCTAAAGGACTGACTGTGGCAGGCTAGAGGAGAGTCTAAAGGAATGACTGTGGCAGACTAGAGGAAAGTCTAAAGGACTGACTGTGGCAGACTAGAGGAAAGGCTAAAGGACTGACTGTGGCAGGGTAGAGGAGAGGCTAAAGGACTAACTGTGGCAGGGTAGAGGAGAGGCTAAAGGACTAACTGTGGCAGGCTAAAGGAGAGTCTAAAGGACTGTCTGTGGCATGCTAGCGGAGAGTCTAAAGGAATGACTGTGGCAGACTAGAGGAAAGTCTAAAGGACTGACTGTGGCAGGCTAGAGGAGAGTCTAAAGGACTGACTGTGGCAGGCTAGAGGAGAGGCTAAAGAACTGACTGTGGCAGGCTAGAGGAGAGTCTAAAGGACTGACTGTGGCAGGCTAGAGGAGAGTCTAAAGGACTAACTGTGGCAGGCTAGAGGAGAGTCTAAAGGACTGACTGTAGTATGCTACTGAAGAAGAAACTCTGTTGAGAACTAACTGTGACAGGCTGCTTAAGATGAAAGTCAAAATGACCAACTATGAATTTATGCTTTTCATTTTACAGTACCATTTGATATTAAAATCTTCAGCACAAGTTTTTATTTAAACACAATTTACATTATTTGAGTAATGTACTAATGTACACTATACTGAGAGTACCTATTAAAGACTTTTACAAGTATTTCTTCTTGGTATTTATTCATCATGTTAAATTGAGACCAGGCTAAAGTGTTTGTCGCCATTGGAATGATGTAAATACATACACATGTCTCAACACATCTTTCTCTTGTCATATACAAGTGTATTTACCTAGATGCATTCAAATATGCTTTCTCTTGATGTATATACAAGCATGCTTTCTTTTTATGTATACAAGTTTGCTTCTATTGATGCATACAAGTATGCTTCTCTTGATGAATACAAGTATATTTCAATTGATGCATGTAAGTATGCTTTCTCTTGAAGTATGCAAGTATGACTTCTCTCGATGTATACAAGTATGCTTTCTCTTGATGTATTCAAGTATGCTTCTCTTCAGGTATAAAAGTATGTCTGCCTTGATGTATACAAGTATGCTTTCTCTTGATTGATATAAGTATGCTTTATCTTTATGTATACAAGTATGCCTATCTGGATGTATACAAATATGCTTTCTCTTCACGTATACAAATATGTTTCTCTTGATGTATTCAGGTATGACTTCTTGATGAATACAAGTATGCCTTATCTTGACGTATACAAATATATTTCCCTTGATGTATACAAGTATGCTTCCCTTGATGTATTCAAGTATGCTTATCTCGATGTATTCAAGTATGCTTCTCTTGATGTATTCAAGTATGCTATCCCTTGATGTATACAAGTATGCTTCCCTTGATGTTTACAAGTGTGTTTTCTCTTGATGTATACAAGTTTGCTATCCCTTGATGTATACAAGTATGCTTCCCTTGATGTTTACGAGTGTGTTTTCTCTTGATGTATACAAGTATGCATTCTCTTCGTATATAAAAGTTTGCCTATCTTGATCTATACAAATATGCATTCTCTTGATGTATACAGGTATGCTTTCTCTTGATTTATTAAAGTTTGCATTCCCTTGATTTATACGAGTTTGCTTCTGTTGATGTATTAAAGTATGCTTCTCTTGAGGCATACAGGTATGATTTCCCTTCATGTGTACAAGGGTGTTTATCTTGATGTATACAGGCATGATTCTCTTGATGCATACAAGAGTATATGCTCCAATAATGTATACAAGTATGTATCTCTTGATGTATTAAATTATGCTTCTCTAGATGTAAACAAGTATACTTCCCTTGAGGTATACAAGTATGCTTTCTAATCATCTTTACAAGTATGCCTTATCTTGAGGTATACAAATATGCCTTATCTTGATGTATACAAGTATGCTTTCCCTTGATGTGTACAAGTATGCATTCTCTTGAAGTATACAAGTATGACTTCTCTTGATGTATGCCTTATCTTGACGTATACAAATATATTTTCCTTGATGTATACAAGTATGCATTGCCTTTATGTATACAAGTATGCTTATCATGATGTATACAAGTATGTTTTCTCTTGACTTATACCAGTATGCCTTGTCTTGACGTATAGATGTATACAAGTATGCGTTCATACAAGTATGCCTTCTCTTGACTTATACAAGTATATTTCACTTGATGTATACAATAATGTGTTCTCCCGATGTATACAAGTATGCGTTCTATCGATGTATACAAGTATGCCTATCTGGATGTATACAAGTATGCCTTCTCTTGACGTATTCAAGTATATTTTCCTTGATATATACAAGTCTGCTTTCCCTTGATGTATACAAGTATGCGTTCTCTTGAAGTATACAAGTATGACTTCTCTCGATGTATACAAGTATGCTTTCTCTTGATGTATTCAAGTATGCTTCTCTTCAGGTATAAAATTATGTCTTTCTTGATGTATACAAGTATGCTTTCTTTTGATTGATATAAGTATGCTTTATCTTGATGTTTACAAGTATGCCTATCTGGATGTATACAAATATGCTTTCTCTTGATGTATTCAAGTATATTTCTCTTGATGTATTCAAGTATGACTTCTCTCGATGAATACAAGTATGCCTTATCTTGACGTATACAAATATATTTTCCTTGATGTATACAAGTATGCTTTCCCTTGATGTATACAAGTATGCTTATCTTCATGTATTCAGATATGCTTCTCTTGATGTATACCAGTATGCTTTCTCTTGTATTTATAAGTATGCTTTCTCTTGATGTATACAAGTATGCTATCCCTTGATGTATACAAGTATGCTTCCCTTGATGTTTACAAGGTTTTTTCTCTTGATGTATACAAGTATGCTTCCCTTGATGTATACATACATATTTTCTTTTGATGTATCCAAGTATGCCTTCTCTTGATGTATTCAAGTATGCTTCTCTTCAGGTAAAAAAGTATGTCTTTCTTGATGTATACAAGTATGCTTTCTTTTGATTGATATAAGTATGCTTTATCTTGATGTATACAAGTATGCCTATCTGGATGTATACAAATATGCTTTCTCTTGATGTATTAAAGTATATTTCTCTTGATGTATTCAAGTATGACTTCTCTCGATGAATACAAGTATGCCTTATCTTGACGTATACAAATATATTTTCCTTGATGTTTACAAGTATGCTTATCTTGATGTATTCAAGTATGCTTCTCTTGATGTATACAAGTATGCTTTCTCTCGATGTATATAAGTATGCCTTCTCTTGATGTATACAAGTATGCTATCCCTTGATGTATTCAGGTATGCTTCCCTTGATGTTTACAAGTGTTTTTTCTCTTGATGTATACAAATATGCATTCTCTTGATGTATACAGGTATGCTTTCTCTTGATGTATTCAGGTTTGCATTCCCTTTATGTATACGAGTATGCTTCTGTTGATTTATTAAAGTATTCTTCTCTTCAGGCATACAAGTATGATTTTCCTTCATGTTTACCAGGATGTTTATCTTAATGTATACAGGCATGATTCTCTTGATGCATACAAGAGTATATGCTCCCATAATGTATACAAGTATGCATCTCTTGATGTATTAAATTATGCTTCTCTTGTGGTATACAAGGATGCTTATCTAGATGTTAACAAGTATGCTTCCCTTGAGGTATACAAATATGCTTTTTATTCATGTATACAAATATGCTTTCTATTCATGTATACAAGTATGCCTTCTCTTGATGTATACAAGGGTATATGTTCCCTTCATGGATACAAGTCTGCTTATCTAGATGTATGCAAGTATGCATCTCTTGATGTATAAAGGTATGCTTCTCTTGAGGTATACAAGTATGCTTATCTAAAGTATTAAAGTATGCTTATCTAGATGTAAACAAGCATGCTTCCCTTGAGGTATACAAGTATGCTTTCTTTTCATGTATACAAGTATGCCTTATCTTGAGGTATACAAATATGCCTTATCTTGATGTACACAAGTATGCTTTCCCTTGATGTGTACAAGTATGCGTTCTCTTGAAGTATACAAGTATGACTTCTCTTGATGTATTCAATTATGACTTCTCTTGATGTATTCAAGTATGACTTCTTTTGATGTATTCAAGTATGACTTCTCTTGATATATTCAAGTATGACTTCTCTCGATTAATACAAGTATGCCTTATCTTGACGTATACAAATATATTTTCCTTGATGTATACAAGTATGCATTGCCTTTATGTATACAAGTACGCTTATCATGATGTATACAAGTATGTTTTCTCTTGACTTATACCAGTATGCCTTCTCTTGACGTATACAGGTATATTCCCCTTGATGTATACAAGTATGTCTTCTCTTGACGTATACAAGTATATTTCACTTGATGTATACAATAATGTGTTCTCCCGATGTATACAAGTATGCGTTCTATCGATGTATACAAGTATGCCTATCTGGATGTATACAAGTATGCCTTCTCTTGACGTATTCAAGTATATTTTCCTTGATATATACAAGTCTGATTTCCCTTGATGTATACAAGTATGCGTTCTCTTGAAGTATACAAGTATGACTTCTCTCGATGTATACAAGTATGCTTTCTCTTGATGTATTCAAGTATGCTTCTCTTCAGGTATATTAGTATGTCTTTCTTGATGTATACAAGTATGGCTATCTGGATGTATACAAATATGACTTCTCTTGATGTATTCAAGTATATTTCTCTTGATGTATTCAAGTATGACTTCTCTCGATGAATACAAGTATGCCTTATCTTGACGTATGCAAATATATTTTCCTTGATGTATACAAGTATGCTTTCCCTTGACGTATACAAGTATGCTTATCTTGATGTATTCAGGTATGCTTCTCTTGATATATACCAGTATGCTTTCTCTTGTATTTATAAGTATGCTTTCTCTTGATGTATACAAGTATGCTTTCCCTTGATGTATACAAGTATGCTTCCCTTGATGTTTACAAGTGTTTTTTTTTCTCTTGATGTATACAAGTATGCTTCCCTTGATGTATACAAACATATTTTCTTTTGATGTATCCAAGTATGCCTTCTCTTGATGTATTCAAGTATTCTATCTCTTGATGTATTCAAGTATATTTATCTTG